ACGACGCGGTCTGCTTCACGGCAGACAGGGGGAACAAACGTGGCAGCAAGCGGCTTCGGCTCGAGCACCTCTGACAAGAGCCTGCCGAGGGGTTTAGCACACCGCGGCGAGAGGGACGCGCCCGGAAACGTTCCAGTTTTTCTCCTCTTGGGCAGTCGCGGGCAGTCACGCAGCGTTTGTGGCATTAACAGCACGGACTTTTACACTGCACTTTACAAAAGCACCCAGAATGCTGAAGAATCATAAAAAAATGCCTCGTTAGCGAAAGGCAGGCGGTGAAATCAAACACAAAAACCACCCAACCTCAGCAGAACAGTAGACAGACAAAACGCAAGCAAACGAGAAGCAGTAACCGGGATTTCAGAACCCGAGGCGGTGCTGCAGAACACACGTTTTACGCCGCTGTTGAGAACAGAGATGAAACGAGATGATTTCCCGGGGAAGCGAGTTTCCGATGTCTGGAGTTAACCAGCACTGATCAAACCCCGGCTGACCTAATAACGACACGCTGGAAAACAGATGGCTCCGGCTCCGAATTCCGCTCCTTACTTGGGTAGCGATTGGACCTGGGAGGAAAAGCAGGGGAAAAAATCCCAGAGCGCGCTCACAGCAGAGAGCCCGCTCCACACAGTTGGATCGGACACGGAGCGTGTGCGTGTCGCACGCCCGGTACGGGGCGGGGGGAGCTGCCCCTTGCTGAGCTAGCCAGCTCTCACTGGCTCCAAGAGCAGAACAACAGAAAGCGAGGTCAGAGCAGAGATACAGCGCCCGGGGAACCGGCCTCGCTGCTGGATACAGGGGCACCGAGCGCACACGCAAATTCAAGGCAGCCGTCCCAGCTGAAAACGCTCTGCAAGAACTCAGCATCTGAGAAAAAGCAGCAGCAGCAGCTTCGGTTAGGGTCAGATCAAGATGAAAAAGGTCTTTTTCTGCCACTTTTTGCCCAAAGAGCTCATTTTGGCTGATTTCCCAGGCTCTGTGCTCTCTGCCGAGCCCTCCCGGCAGCCGCGGCCGTGCGCTGTGCTCTCAGGCAGAAGGAGCAGGGCCGCTCCCCGGCGGGCAGTTTGGCACCGGTACCGAACCAGACGCCGCTTCAGCGCGCGAGAGCTCGAGGGCACGTTACTGCGTGACGATTTGCTCAGAGGTACCAGCCCTCTGACACACAGCGTCACCGACCCGGGAACCGCAGGAGCAGCCAGCGATTTACCGGTGAGGAGAGGACAAAGCAGGCACATTCACAAGGCAAGATCCGTTCCTCTTCGGGAAACTTCACTTGGAATAAAATAACGTGTTTCGGAGACGGGACTAAAAGAGCCAAATGATCTTTTAGGACACCGCTGAACCAGGGCCTCGCTGCCCCACAGGCCTCTGCAGCCTGAAGCCCGGATCCGATGAACGGCGATGAACCGGATTTAGAGAACCCACTCCGCAGCAGAGCTTCATCTTCAATTTATTGTGCAACAAGCATCAGTAACTTTCTGCCCAAGCTCCTCTAAACACAATTACAGACACGAGACCGAGTGTTTTCATACACACGACTGCTGTTGTTCAAACACGCACATCTCCTGCTGTCGCGGACCAAAGGAAACCACTTCGCCGTTACACAGAGAAAACAGGTAAATGGAACAGCAGAGCGTCGCGCCGAACTCCTTCAGCAGGCGCCGCTGCTCAGCTCCATTTCGTTTGCAGAATTATCCCTAACCGGACACAGTGTGCTTCGCCTTGCAGCCCGGCCACTGCACAACTACAGCAGTCAGGAGACAGACAGCAGTGGGTTTGAGCTCAGTGTACCCCCGCTGCGGTGCGGACAGCTAGCGAGGTATTTAAAGGCGCGTTCTCGTAAGCGGTGAGCGGTGCCAGGCAGCACCTCGCTAGGAGGCTTTTAGGCTGTCATGTTACAGCAAGATCTGTCTGTGGCTGCAGAGAAATATCATCTCAAGACCACCGCCCGTTTCCCTAAGAAAAGAAAGACCGCCTGTCCCTCCGTCGGCTCGGCTTTCTCGGCATATCGTTTAAACCCGTGACGCCTCCGTGTGAAGAGCAGCTAGATGCTGCCTCCTCCCACACACCCCCTCTGCTGAAAGGGAACTGGCTTCATTCAACGCGCGACTTGGAAGCCAGTGAAGAATTCTCAAACGTGAGCAAAAGCAACCGCGTACCTCAGGACACCTGCCAGGTCCGCACAGCCTCACACCGCGACAGGAACGAAGCGAGGGCATTTCCTCGAGTGGGGCGAGAAAAGCAGGGTGCACTAACACTGGCGAGAGAGAAACTCAGCCTCTTACACGCAGGCCTACGGTTCTGTTCCCTAAAGCGCTACAGGATGCCGGGCAGGCAGAAAAAACAGATTCCTATGTGCCTTCACAAAGTGCCCTTTCTCGCGCACGGTCGTGCCCCAGAGGGTACTCTTCACCCAGAACGGCTTCTCCAGGCCAGCAACAGGAATACCGCTGCCCAGAGGTCTTCGTACTCCAGGTTTGCCAAAAAGCACATCTTCAGTTTGGTTTCCACCCGGCTTTTATCCACCAGTCCGTCCGTGAGCAACGCGGCCGCAGACTGGCAGAGGAGCCAGGCGATCATCTGGTCGGGTTTCAGGGTCTCGGACGCTAGAACGCTCTCACCCCAGAGGCTGAGGTGAAGCACGTTAGCAGCAACTCTCGCCGACAATCTCTGCAAAAGGAAGGAGAAGGAAGATTAGCTGAACCTGCCGCAACCCTGTCCCATCGCTAGCGTCTAGCATCTGCACTGCCTGGAGTCCACCAGGCCTCCCTAAGGCACCGCGCAGCCGCTGGGAACTGAAAAGCTCTTTGTGACTATTAATATCAGGCAACTGCACGTAACCTCCCAATTCAAGGTCCCGTCCCTGACGCAAACGTCCGCTGAAATCTCCGAAACTGCTCGGAGCCGCATGCGAGAGGCCGCGCTGTACTTCAGCACAGACTTCGCGTCAGTCCCACAGCCCTTCGGGGGGAAATCGTCCACGAACGGTACTGCAGCACTCCCAAAGAGTGTCCAGAAGACTTCCTCGAGCCGGCAGTTTCTCACCTTGTTGGGATCCCTCTGAAGCAGCAGCTTTATCACTTCCTTCACCGCAAGGGGCACGTGCTCGGGCAGGCTCGGCAGCTGGTCTTCACGGTAGCTTCTGCTTTGCAGAGCCGAGTCCCCGGGGCCGTAGAAAGGATTGGCCAGGCCGAGGATTTCGTAAGCGATCGCTCCGACAGCCCAAGCGTCGGCTTTACTGTAGTTGATCACCGCGCCCGGACCAGGGGACGCTGTGATGACCTAGCACAGAGACGGGGACGGTCAATAAACAGCTCTAGTGCGGGCTCCGTGCTAAAACTTATTTTCAAAGGTTGAGTCAACATTTCCCCTGTAGTAAACCGCGAGAGACCAAAACCAAAGCTCTCCGGTGTCAATATTCCCTGTCGGCACGCTCTCAGCCTTTGGCAGGGCTCGGCTCACCGGGACGCCGGGAGCTCGGTCACCACGCCTTGGCTTTAGTCGTTGCCCCTGACCAGCATCCAGAGAGACCCGAGGGCTGTTTCCCTCTGGGATTTCAGACAGACAGCAGGCGCGCGGATGACCGACCGATACCGCACCGGCCCTCCGGCGATGCAAGGCACGGTGCTGCAGGTCAAGCGGGCAGTTAAGGGTGTCTTCGCTTTTATTACGGCTATCCTCAGAGGAATAAAAAGGAACTGTTACTAATCTCACAACCACCCTGAACTTCATTCACAAGCTACTGTCGCAACACCACTGCCGCGTTAACTCCTTTAATCGCTACGAAGAAAGGGGCCCAAGAACAGACCGCAGAGCTAGCTGTTTGTGGGAAAGGTGAAGTCTGCCTCACCACACCGACTGCGGCCGCGTCACCTTCTAGCGCTCAAGGTGTCCGTTCGACAACTGCTCAGCACAGGTCCGGAGAGGACCTCCTGCATTAATGCTGAGATGTTTAGCGAGCGCAACCCAAGTTAGGACACGGACCTCCTACGCCGCTTTACGGGACACGGCTCTCCATGGCGGAGCGTAGGCTGAGAGTAGCTACGCAGTAGCCAGCTACGGGTAC